TAGAATCTTGATCCTCAACATGCTTGAACTTTCAGCTTGCCTTTGTCTATGTTGTTCAAAACCTCTCTCCCCAATCCTCCATTCTGCACACTTGCTGGCATACACTGAGCACTCTAACATACATGGAGCACTCATCATGTGCCAGGTACTGTGCTAAGAACCTTATTCTTATTATTTCCTTTAATCTTCACAACAGCCTACAAAGTAGATACAACTATTATTGCTTTACAGATAACATGTCCTCCTCTCTGCAGAACAGCCTTCCTTACCAACCTAGACCCAGATGCTGGTAGTCATTTTCAGTACCACCCATCTGCCACTTCCTAGGCTTGAATTTTTGTATATCATTTATAATCTTCTGCCCTTTCTCCCCAAGAGATTGAGGACCCTTCAGGGCAGCAAGGGGGAGCCCTCATGCTTAGTAAACGGGTGCTAGGTGGATCACTGAGTAGAGCTGAGGATGTGACCCCGACAGTCAGCCTTACCTGCGTGGGCTGGCAGATGATAGTCAGGGGAGTTGGCTCCCCCAGGCCCTGGTCCTCATACTGTCGCCTCTCCAATATGCCATCACCAAATGACAGAGCATTGGAAGATGATGTATTCAAGATCGAGTAAGAACTGCAGAGGAAGGTAAGAAAGATGTTAACTGCTTTGGCCAGGAGTCATCAGCACCTCATCGTTGGGCTCAACAGGAGTGTGGAATTAGCAGGAAACACTCTCTGGGCGGTGCAGTCGTTAGGAAAGCGGAGCAGGGGGCACCCCATTCCTATGAAGGAACATCTTGTTTTATACAGACTGAAGTCTTACAGTTAATAAATTAGGGGCAGATGGATTTCCGTACTTGGAACAGATGCATTCATCCCTCTGGGAAGGGATAGGGCCCATGATTTTGTGCTTATTAGGATGCCGCAGGCATGGCTGGCACCAAAGACATGTGAAAGAATAATGAGGTATCAATTTTGTACCATTGTTTCCAGCTATTTTTCTTGTTCAAAAGAAATAAACAATCTTTGTTGCCTTTAATCTTATCCATAGTGGTTTCCATCTGAACTGACAAATTAGAGGATTTTTACTATCTCCACCACTTTGCCTGTGGCTCCTATTGGTCAAGGAAACCTTATGGCCATTATCCTCTATTCTATCTTCTTCAGCCTCCAAACCCCTCTCCCCACCTCAACAATACCCCGAACAAGATGGTTAAATACAGTTATTTCAAAAGAGACCATTCTCACCAGAGGCACAGAGCTGTGAGCCAAGAACTCTCATTTCTGGGTGTAACACTGTAACTACAGAAGCCCAAAAGAGGTCTTGTGAAAGGGAGGCAGCAAATCATGGCAGGTTTAAATTATTTTGATTAAGAAGGCCGCCAAAAAGCTTTATCTAATAAACATTGCAATTTAAATATGGTTGTTAGGCAAATCTCCTTCTGCATCACTGGGCTGTGTCAAGGCAAAGCATTTAAATTTTCGATTTCTTGCTTCTTTACAACCAGGGTAGCCATACATCCCGGTTTGCCCAGCCTAGTCCTGGTTTGTACCTGTTTACCCAGCAATCTGTTCAGTTTTACATCTGTTCTGGATTATTTATTTTTAACACAGTATTATCCTTAGAATCTTATTTTTGAAAAGAACTTTTTATATTCACCAATATAATAAAACAAACTGGTTGTTAGTAAAAAATTTTTCAAAAATCTATGATTATAATAATTTTAGCCCCCCTTTTTCTCTCTGAAGTATCCTTTTTTTGACTGTCAATAGACTCATCCTACTGATACACAAAGGTCCAGAAGCCTCAGACCCTGTGATGTTTCAGCTTCTGTGCGTGTCAGAACCACCGGGGAAGTTTTAAGAAATGCACATGCCTGGGCCCCACTCCTCACAGACTGCGATTCAGCAGGTCTGGGGTGTCCAGGAACCTGCACTTTAACGAAGCAGCATCAGTACGTGTGGCGTGCAGCCAATGTGAGCTATTATGGTAAAACTTAAGCAACTGTAGACCAAGGAAATCTCGTGCCATTCACACAGTCTAAGAGACAGTCTCTTCTCCTTGATTTCAACCGAGATCCTCCCAAACACCACACAGTTAAAGAAAATTCAGTTTCACTGTCTAATTCATCAAAGCTTCGGGGCCTGAAATGTCTGGATATGTGGAATCATCCTCAAGTCTTGCTTGTACATGTCCCTTAATTTCTTTACTTTATTACAGCTGTGAAGACACGGATAGAATCCTCTCTCCCCTTCAGCTCAGCTGGCAAGGAGAATGCCGACCTCCTTCTCTTCTTAACTGCTGTTATAATCAAAGGCCCTGACTCACTCTGAGACAGTTGGGGCTGTCAGTTCCAGTCAGACAATAGTCAGATGCTTTATGTTGAAAGCAGCGAAGGGAGGAAGCGGAACCTGACACCCAGAACATCTTCTCCAGCACTGGGGAGATGCCGGGACCTCCCTTGGACACATAGGCCTGTGGGTAAACCCAGAGGGACTGGCCAGCCCAATCCAGAGGACATAATGGGCTTCGACAATTGACAAATATCTAGGGATACTCAGAACCAGGCAAGATGCCCTAGTAAGGGTGATAGGAAATATTTCTTTAGGAGAGACTCAGAGAACGGAGGGCAGGGTAGGAAGGGTTGGGAAGGGTCAGCGGTCCCCAGTCCCTACTTGTTGCTTGAATCAGCAACTTTCCATCAAGTCAGCCAGGTCCTGCGTGAGCAGGGGCTGTGCTTTTACGTCCTTGAGGCTAACTGTGGTTAGGGGTGAGCTGGGCTCTGCCTGCTGAGTCATTTCCACCTCTGGGGTTAAGTAGGAAAGTACAAGTCTTCTATAGGATCACTTTTGTGGAAGAGACATTTGACTTGACAGGCATATAAGAAAGGACTAGAAAACACGAGTTAGAAAGAAAAGAAAAATCATAAAGCTAATGGCTCTTTTAGATTCAGTGCTGTTATATACATGGTACTGATCCATGGAAAGCTAAGTCCCTTATTGCAGTCTTCACAACACCCCTGTGAAGAAAGTACAATTATTATCTACATTTTATAGATTAGCAAACAGGTTCAGAGTGGTAATGTAACTTAGCCAAGGTCACACAGCTGGTAAGTGGGAGAGTTAGGATTTAAATCCAAGACTATTGAAATAAAAACTCGAATTCTTAATTACAATGTCCTAACACCTAACCTTAGTAGTTCCCCACTCTCAGCAGGGTTGGCTGTGGAAGCTGATAGTTTAATTTCAGACGTGGTTCCCAGGGAAATAACTCACAAGTAATCTCTCAGAATAAAACGGGATGACACACAGAGCTCTCTGTGATCCACGGACCGAAGTCCCTGAGGCTCATCCGTGTTTCAGCCTGAGCTCTAATCTGGGCGAGAGTGGCTCTGGATGGAGCGATCTGAAGTGGGTCAGCAGGGCTTCCCACACGCTCTTCTCCCACATGGAGCCTTGCTTTTAAGAAAGTGATCTGGGAGCTGTGCATCTTCAGACAAATAATCTTTTAGTTCTCAGTTTACTCATGTATGTTATGCTTCACTTGTTTTTATGGGGATAAAATAGTGACTTTGGAAACCTAACTTATTTATTTTGATGTTCAGAAACATTTCCGAAATAGCAACTGTTTGGGGGAAATGAGGCAGCTTTGACCTTCCAATTTGTGCCCCAAAATGCTGGATGTTCATGGGGTGGGGGCGGGGGGTGGACTGGAAGGAAGGGCAGGGGTTGCAGGGCAGGGGTTATTAATTAAGGAAGAAGGAGTTCTTTCCTATCGTTGGGTTTGTGATTTGTCTGCTTGCTGATAACCAGGGAAACTTCTTTTCTTTTCTCCCTCCAGGCAAAAAACTCACTGCAATTGCCCCTCTCTGCCTCTCTTTTATGGCGGTAATAACAATGTTAGACACCATGCAGCTGGTGCTCAGAGCTTCCGGCTCTCAGCCACGTTGGCACATGGCAAGAACAAGAGGGAGGAAAAACAAACCAGCATGCACACCCTGGCGAGATGCCCGAGTGCACCAGGGAAGCGCTGGCTGGCTCTGAGCTTTTCAGATTAAGAAAGAGAAGGTGGCTTTACTCCTATTTTATCCAGTGGGACAAAGCTGGGCATACAACACAGGCCACTCTCAACATGGGCCAATTTGGTGTGGGGGCAAAACAGTAGTGACCCATTGGTGGAAGTTATCATGCTAAAGAAGACTGGGTAGTCATGTGCCTTTTTTAGGTTCTGGCAGTCGCCCATTTCCTTAGACACAGTCTCTGTCGTCTAGGCATTCATGTGCCAAGTCTGAGGACTTGCACAGGGTCACCTAACAAGTGAGGGGTACAGTTAGGTCTCCTGACTCTTGCAAATCCTTTTACTACTGGTCTGGCTGGCATAGTGGGAATCTGCCAGCTGCCCTGCAGAGTCACACCACTCTGAGCAATGACCCAGGACAAAGTGGACAGAATCCTGACAGCCGTGAAGACTCAGCCCTGGGACGACCCACACTTCAGCCAGAAGAGATGGACCCCAAAGCAGCCTCAGTTTAATCTCCGATCAGGAACTCAGACAGACAGTTACATCAAATGCGGCAGGCAGAGCGGAGCAGAGCAATCCATCTTTCATTTTTCCCATGCCCCAAGTCAGCCCTTTCCTGAAAGTCTAAAACCAATAGAGCTTTCTTCCACACAGATTCCATTTACTGTTACTGCTGCCCTGTGTGTCCAGGATCAAGTCCATTTCCCTGCCACCTCCTCGAAATCTGCAAGTGCAATGCTCTTCGAAAAGCAGCAGGCAAACAACATTGAGTCTGCTCACCCATGAAAGATCCAGGTGCTGCATTCGTCAGCCTTGGTAATGTAGTTCTCGGGCAGGAGTCCCGAACAGCCAGTAGTTAAGGATGTGCCATAGATCCAGCCCTCGCTGGTGCTGGTCTGCTCCATGGGAGACATGAAGATGAAGTCCCCAGGGACCAGCTCCAGCTCATCATCATTTTGTGGGGTGTAAGGGTAGATCACCTGTAATGTCTGAACAAGGAAGAGAAAGATGAGCGAGGCCCACATCTGACCCCTTCTTCTGAGTGCCTCCAGGGCATGTCTGTGGGTTCTGCTTTGTCCAGATGTTGACATTTACAGGTACCCTTGGGGTCTGCAGGCTCCGAGCAGATTTGGATTCAGATCAGAAAACATTTCTTCTTTTTTCAGAGTATTGTGGGTGGGGGCCTGGTGCTACTGATGGTTCCAGACTTTCTTTCAGGCATGTCTTTGCTTCCCATCAGGATTCAGATATGGTTTTTAGAAATTCATCTACAAGCTCATAGGCTCTCCAGTCAACTGCTATACAAATGGGGTTGGACCTAGCTTCCCCTGCTCCACCTGCTGGGAGAGGCACCATAATAGACACTTGAAACCCAGCTCATGGAGAGTGGGGCTTCCATATGGGTCTTACAGATGGGCCAGATGGAGAGACTCTTCCATAGGAAGGGTTTGGAAATTAAGTATTTCTCTTTCTATGTAACTAAGCTGCTTAAACAAGACAGGTCCCTGCCTTCAAGGAGCTTTCTTTAAACCCACGTTTTTAACAAAGACCCTGAAAGAAAACTATCTTCCATAGCCATCAGTGCATATGTCTGCATAACCAGCTTTCATAAGCAAACAGATGGAGACCACGTGTTCCATCTTTGGGCTCAGAAAAAGCCCCCAGGGCCAACCGTAGGCCATGCCACTTGGCTGATTTATTCCATTTTTTCCCTCCTTTCCTGGTATATATGAACATCACAGGCATAGGCATGAAGGTACTTTAGAAAACACTTATTTTACTATTTTTTTAATTAACAGCAGGAGACCTTCAAAGTAAGGAAAATATTTCCTGTCCTGTTTGTTTCACAAGGGACACAAAGATTGAGAGGCTTTCACAGCTTTTCCTACGGTCCCAAAACTATGAGTGGTAGATGAAATATTCTGGTTCCCACTTTCAGATTTTAACTTTGGCCTCAGTTTTCTCACCTGTGAAATAATAGCTGGACTACAAAAGTTCAATGAGACAATCTAAGAAAACTCCTTAGGTCAGAGCCTTGTACGCAGAAGGGACGTCATTATTTCTACTGAATCGTGACCTCTGACTTTCCAGGTGGTGTCTTTCCTTCTAGCTGACCCTGACCCCTGGACCCCCGTGCAGGGTAGGCTTGTGCGCTAATCAGCTCATTGGTGTCAAGGTGACACATCAGAACATGTATTAAAGAAGGGATTTCTTTCTGGAAGTCTCTAATGAAAGGAGCCAGTCAAAATGTGATTTATCTCAGAGAATGAAAGTGATAACGCACAGAACTTGATTGCACCCCTGGAGTTCTGATTTTCCTTTTATTTAGGGTACCCATGTCTTTCCCTCATTCTGACTCCAGCATCTTTCAACTCTAGACCTTCCTCTCTTCTGATCGCCTCCCAATTCCTCTGCCACAGACACATTCAAACCACTTTTCCAAACCAACCAGGAAGGTTTTCTGCTGGTTTGTTAAAACAGCTTAAAGAAAACAAAATATTCACAAGAACTCTCTTAAATCTCAAAGCTAGGTTTGCGATGATTCACTAAAAGGAAGATGCTTTTTCCTGGAACAGGGTGGAGAGGCAGCGAGTCATGAGGCAAACAAGCCTACACTCGTGCTCCTCAGATGCTCAAGCACAGCACAGTTTCGGCTCATAACGCCTCTGGCCCGGTAGTGCCTTTCCTCTGAGAAACTGCAAGCGACTTGAGAGAAGAACTCATTCCTCCTATCGCTCAGGGGGTGAGTATTCCGTCTCTAGGTTATCTCCAGGGAAATCGAGGCACAGCAAAGGAGGGGAGGAGACAATATGACCTGGGTAGAGAGTGGTTGGACAATAAGTAGCTTTGATTTATTGAATAAGCAATACAAGAGGTAAGGTATTGCAGCAAATCTTGAATTCTAAGTGGTGCCCATGTCCCCAGAGCCCTTTTCCACTCACTGAAAGCACAGGCCAAAGTCAGCCTAAGTTTGAGAGACATCAGGACACACGCCTAGATTTGTCCTATGTGATACTTACTCTTTTGTTTTACATTTAGCATCTACTTGTCAGAATTCTTGAGTCTATCTCATGTATGTTTTTCTCCCTTCCCCTCCTTTCTGCCCCCATAAGGGGACTAAACTCAGAGTTTGCTGACTGACGTCTTGAGAAGGGGTAGTCAGAGCCCTGTGGGATTCTAGGAATTGAACCTCATGGTTTGAAGCCCTTTTTACTCTTAGTAACAATAATAGCAGCAGCAGTTTTTGCTGTTGTTGCCCCCGCTCTGTGCTGGGTATTATGTTAGGGCCTCTCTATACATCCTCTTCGTCCTCACAACAGTCCAGCAAAATATTAGCACCATTTTACACATGAGAAAACTAAGGACTGGAGAGTCATAGAAGTTGTAGAAGCAAATCTAACAACTGCTAGAGTGATGGAGCCAGGATTTGAAGCCATGAGTGCTAGACTCCAGAATTTATACTTTTTGTATAGCTCTGTCCTTCCTCCAGATTTCTATTGCTCGGCATATCAAACTGGCATGGCCCAATGTAATCACCAATGTGGAAGAAACTACGTGAATTACAAGGAGGCATTTGCAAGCTGGGATCAAGTGAGAATCTGAACAGCAGAGGGATGAGACCTAGGAGTCTTCCTAAGCATCACTTGCTGAGTGTCCTTGCCTAAACCACTTTGCCTCTCTGGACATCTGTTACCTACCTGGGACAATCAATCACACCTGCCTCCTGAGGACAGACGAAGGAGGCAGGAAGAGTTTACATATGCAGGAGGGCTCAGGTGAAGCCAAATGACCTCGGAGGGAGAACTTTATCAGAAAGAACAGTAATAAATGAGCTTTTACAAATAAGAGATAAAAGAGGCCAAGGTATTTTTAGAAAATAATTCATGTGGGCCTTGCTGCCTCTTTCCCTTGGTGCCAGTTGAGCAGAATGTGGGTCAGGCAGAAAAGCAATTACCCTTTGAGTTAACTGGAGGGCAGTGTTGATTAGAAGATATTCCTTGTAAAATTCCATTGCCACCTTCCTTCTCTTAGAAAGGTGACTTCTCACAGTCCATCTGCATGAACGTGACTTTTTTTTCTTTGCCCTCAGAAGGAGTCCAGTTGGCCACACCTCTCTTGTTATATTTAGGGCTCGCCCTAAGCAATTCCAAGAGATGTCAGAATTCTTAAGTAAGATCAAGCCCAGTCTCCTTGTTGTGTCTTTACAGAAACTTGCATCAAATGACTCGGAAGGAGGACACGACATTCCCATCAGCAGTCAGACAGCACTGCATGTTCCTGACCCTCACAGGCCCATGCCCAGGCCTGGACCTGGGGTTCATGGGTCAGCTCTTCCCAGCACTTCCAAAAACATAATGAGGTCGCCTACTCTAGACCCTGAGGTTCTAACTGTTTTTCATACTTAAAAAAATATCTAAAAGAGATGTTAAAAGGCTATGTAAATTAACACAAATATCAGTTCTTTTGCTGCTGAAAAATTGGGTAACAAATATAAGAACTGTTTCATAAATGTAGTTAAACTGGATGGCAACTTTTTCATCAAACAATGTGGTCTTTTTAGATGACTTGCCCATCTTTGTTGGTCAGAATCCCTGGGTTCTGGCTTCAGCTCTGGTCCTAAACTGCTATTTAGCTTTGAACCAGCCACTTCATCTCTTTCTGTCTCAGCGTCTTCTTCAGGGAAAAAACGACAATATTGCTCTTCAGGGATGGCACATGCCAGTCCTAGAAAGCAATGTCGATGCCCTCAGAAGAAGGATGCTAGGATGGTGCCAATCCTTCTGCCTGCACTGGGATTCCATTGTCCCGTCATGCTTCCCATGTGATGTACACAAACTCTCACGACGTTTGGTCTGTGCTTTCACTTCATGTGTGTCTGTTATCTCCCCTCTGCTGGACTCAAAGCTCCTTGAGGACAAGTCCACATTTTAAAATTCTGGTACATTCCATGGTGCCTTGCCTGCCATAGATACTCATCAAATATCTATTGATTATCTGTTTACAGATTTTTTTTGTATTTATGGGTTCTCCTCCTCACCTAAGATCAGGATGATGTCGTCTATCTATTAATACCATGAACTGATATAATATTTAAAATTCTTCCAACATATTTTATCTATTCTCCCACTTCATTTCTATATCATTCCAGTAAGGTTGGCAGGGCAGACAGAACAATGGGGATATTACACAGATGGGCCACTTGGCACCCAGAGAGAAGTGATGCAAGCTCAAAGCTTCCCAGTGAGTCAGACAGCACCTGGACAAAATCCCGGGCCAGCTGACTCCGGGTCTGGTGCCTGCTTCATTGCGTTCCTTTGGTACCCAACTCCTCGCAGCAGCAAGCAGCAAGCACTCCTGGTTCTGATTGCACCCCTGCACCTCTGGTAGAATCAGGAGCCACAGTGACACATTACCTCATGGTTAGCAAATCGGATGTCCCGAGAGAATATGGTAGCCACCCAGTCACACCCTAGTTTCACATCAATATTCTGGGCTAGTTTCTCCAGGGTGGGTAGGTGGCTAGCTTGGAAGTGGTAAGCCAGGGTCACATGCAGCTGCTTCTTATGAGGTTCCACATGTACTTCTGGAAAAAGAAAGCAAACGGTCAGTTATTAGAATGTGGTAATCATAGCAATAGTGGAGACTTAAGGAAGAACATAGAAAGGTGCCCTCATACATTCAGCTTCCCAAATAACAAAGGAGGGAGTCCCTCCATTAGACAAGAGCTGTTTCCTTCCTTCACAACAGCAGAATAAGGGAGGAGGGATAACAAATCCTGAATTAACCCACAACTTGACAGATCAAGAGCCACACATCTGGCTTTTCTGTAGGAGCTATGGATCAGCTGAGAGGTAATCATTTTGGTTGGCTCCTCCTCACAATTCCAACTGATTATCACCAGCCCCACCGTTCAGATGAGGAAACTGAGACCTAAAGGAATGAACTAATTTACATAGAAATAAAGAGCAAATTTTATTATCCCGTGACTCCCCAAGCTATATTGCCTTTGTTTTGCAATCAAGCCTCTTAGCTTCTGGGTGGCTCTGATGGAAAAACAATGGAAAAAGATAGAATATTTTCAACGTTTAATACCAGGTCTCTCAACAGCATTGGGTCAAATAATCCTTTGTTGTGGGGGCTGTCCTGTGCCTTCTAGGGTCCTTAGCTGCATCCCTGGCCCCTACCCACTAGATGCCAGTAGCGGCCCCCCCCAAGTTGGGACAACCAAAAATGACTCCAGATATTGCCAAATGTCCCCAGGGGGCAAAATTGCCCCAGTTGAGAACCACTGGTTTAAAATACACAGACTGTTATTCTAAACACTCTAAAAAATAAACCAAACCAACCTACCTACACGAGGCAATGGCTTTTCTCTCTCTTTTGCACATGTTTAAATGGGGGAGAGAAATCTACTGTCCAAGCTAGGACACTGAAAAAGATGCGACTAGAGGGACTTGAGGGAATGTGAGAAATTAAGGGGCTTGCTCAAGTCACAGAGATAGAGGGAGAAGCTGAATCTGGTTTTGAGCACTTTTTCTGTTATACTGCATTGCATTTCTTTGGTACACGCCCCATGAGGCACAGGCTATGTGTCTTGTTCACAAGGCAGCCTCAGTGCTCAGCACACTACAGGCTTTTGTACTAGTCAAACGAATGAATACACGTGAATGAATCTCCTTAAACCATCTAGGATGGAGGATGACACTAAATCTACTTGCTGACAGAAAAAACTCTAGAATACCAAGGCAGAAGTTCTAGGACAAAGACATGGTGGCCTGCTTTTAGGTTCCAAGAGCTGGGCCACCTACACTGGGCAGGGCCACCCAGTTCTCCAAGTCACCACCAGGGGGCCACACAAGGGCAGAGAAAGGAGCCGGCAGAGCTCTTAGAGAGTGGCCAAAGATTCTTAGAGAGGAACTGGCTCTCCCCTTTTTACAAAGAAAGCAAGCAAGGGCCTGACTGCCTCTCACTCAATACGTGCCGTAAGAACCCGCCGCAGTCCTGGCTGAGACCCGCTTTACTCATTTGTGAAGGATTTTGGTTTTGTGGCTACAACATTAGTTTTGGTCCTTGTGGGACTTTTAGTGGTATTGACAATAGCTACTGTGGGATGAAAAAGAGCCATTTCTCTGAGGTAGAGGGATAGGAACAGGAAATAATGTGCCTCTTTATTATGCCATTTTTGTGAAATATTAAGCTCCTGTGAAATGGCAAGCTCCACCAAAGTCAGAAAGCAGAGACCAGTCCTGGGGGAAGAGGCGTGCCCAGGGAAGGGGTCTAAGGAGGCCCCAGTCCTGAAGTAGAGGAGGTATCTTAAGGACCCAGAGTTCCTCTGAGAGTAGAGACCTTGCTGTGACCCTGCTCAGTGGTGCTGAGCCCTCAACACACTTTTCCTAGAGTCTGGAGCCCTATTTGGGGCTTTTCTGGAGAAGAGGAACATGGAGCAAAAGGACCAAGTCAGGGATGAAAACAGCAGCAAGGAATAATGGCAGGTGAGGTACAGGTCACAGGTCAGGAGACCAATAATCAAACCATGCTGCTTTACTCAGGTCTTCCCCCTCTCTGGTGCTCCGTATGGTGTTGAGTTGGCAAGCTCCCGTCCAGCTTTGCATTCAACACTTGGATTCAGTTGTGCAGCTCACACCCTCCGCTCTGGCCAGGATGGCCTCTACACTGTCCTCCGCACGCACCCTGCTCCTTCCTGCCTGTGCTTATGCCACCAGCCCACCTGCAGGGCCCATCTTCCATCTATGGATCAACATGGTCCCAGTGTGAGCTTCCTTTCTTCTGTGAAGGTGGAACCACTCCACCTGGTGATGGCCTCTCTCCTCTCAGAGCTCTGTGATCACACAGTGCCTGAACTGGGATTCCCAACTGTGACTCTGGCCAGGAGAAACCACTTCTTATGCTCTGTTGGATTCCTCATGGATAAACACATAGTAGGTGCCCAATAAATACCTGCAGATTGTGACTTCATTCTTAAGGGAGCCAATAGAGACTCCCCCACCCCACTGTCTGTCTGTCCCACTGCAGGTAAGGCTCTTGCTCAGCTCAGAGAGCTTGTGTGCACCTGGAGTCAGACAGGGGATGCTTGGCACACGTCTCCCTCTTGTCCTCTCTCCATGCCTTCCCCCTAAGTCAGCACACGTCCTGAGCATCCCTTTAAGCTAATTCCTTTGATGGGAATTCTCAGTTGCTTGAACTAAGAGCTGCCGTGAAAAGAGCAGGAGCCATCTTGTATGGGTGGCATTTTTGGACAGCCTTTGAGGCTTAGAGGTCTGTCTAATGGGTTTCAGTGAGTTGAAGGGCAATGGCTCAGTGGGTTTTATCACTACTCGATACTAAGTGGTTCCACTCTACTCTCTGTGTTGTGTTACCCCCTGAGCAAAGCCCTGGGTCCTCTTGGAGTGAGACCCAGATAAAAATGCCTGCATGGGAGGGAGTTTGGGAGGAAGAAAGGAAGGTTCCTTAATTCTGAAATGGGAGAAGAGGGTGGTGGTACCAAAGAATATATTTATAGTTCAATGGGGAATAGTCATTTGTGTGCCTTCAACTTGGGCGTTAGGGAGTAGGCACTGGACACTCTCTCAAGGTTAGCAGAACAATAGTTTAATATTTTTTAAATGGAGCAAAGAGGTGTCGGGTGCTGCAGGAAGTGGCTGTGTTCTTTGTCATGTTCTGCCCATTCCTGCAGGACCCTCCAGCTCCTGCCTCCATCTCACTCCTCCACAATAATTTCCTATCCTCTTCCTTCCCAACTTTCTGATCCACAGGCCCCAGGGCTGGCCCGGCAGCTGGGTTGGCTCACCGGTTTTGGATGCCGCCTCTGCAGCAAAATCAGCGGCAAACTTCTTGAGGACCTCTGCGCTGTCTTCCTTCACGAAGAGGCCGATGAAGTTGGAGGAGGTATAGAGCTCCAGGGGCAGCGGGGCTGAGAACTTACACTTCCAGCGACTGACGGTGGTCTGCAGGGCTTCCCCCAGGGCGTCCACCTTGCTGTCCTCACACTGTCAGGGGAAAGCAAGAGGCTTCATTCAGAGACAAGAGGAGATGAACGTCTGCTGACACTTAACATTTGGCATCCTCTGTCCAGACCTGGAGGCTGAGGATGTAATTACTAAATGAATACTCCTGTTTGTGAAGAGGAAAAAGAACTGCAGACTCCCAATTAGGAAATGGATTATCCAACTGCTAAATTAACCTAGGGCAATGGCCCACCTCTTCCCTCCCTCCCTGCTATGATGTGCCCCTCTGAACCCAGCCGGAATGCAGTAGGACTGGTCTAGCAGAAAGGAAGAACGGAGGAACATGCCAGGAAAGAATACAGCGCCCCAGGATAAATTGTGTGTTTTCTACTGTTTTGCATCATCTGCGCCTTTTCTATTCCTCTTAGACAATCAAAAGTTCGACTCTACTTCCGCCCCCATGATAGATGGGAAGAATGAGGCTCAGAGAACTGTGACATCCTCCTCCTACCCTCTTCAGAACACTGGAAGAAAGAATGAGTGTGTCTACAACTCTGAATGCTTTTGAGAAAGATTTTGGGATGACTAAGAGGAAATGATAATCGCTTTAATTTTCAGAGTGAATGGTAAGGGAGAAGGTGTTAGGAACACATTTTTACCTGAAAAAAAAAAGAGAGAGAATCTGGAAAAAACAACCCAAAATATTAAAAAATATATATATTGTCTTAAAGTGCTACCATTCTTCCTAGTTTTGAATATATCTGGGTAAATCAATTCTTTTCCATCTCCACAGAGAGCTAAAGTAGATGAAACGTATTTATATTTATTAGAGTGAGGGGGATTTAATTTAGTCATTAAATAAGCTTTGTGACAGCCAGGACTATTAACTAGGTAACTATGGCAGGTGGAAAGTATCTTTGCTGTCTCTAGAAAGATCTAATGAGACAAAACCTGTGGACAGTGTCCACGAGGCTAAAGTCGCTTTCCCTGTCTGTAGACTACATCTCTTGTTCCCAGCTCTCTAATTTCTACTCTTCCCTTGTTGTGAGAGTAGAAAGGTAGACAATGGACAAGGGGGAAGCTAGGTTAGTGAATCTGTTCCCTTTGTGGCTGCCAGACCAATGGGTCACTGAGTGGGTCAGGCTTTTCCCTAGGGTCCTGAGGAGCAAGCAGTCATCACGAAGCTACACCAAACCTGGGGTGCTCCTGGGCCTTGGCAGATATTGGAAAAAGGAGCTAGGGTGAGTAGCTGTGGACCTCACTGACTCCTTCAAGGCCCATCCAGCTCTAGCAGCCCACGACTATTTCCGCCAGCTTCCTGAGAGGCTCTTGACTTTGACTCCAGGTCCTAAGGGGCTGGCTGCGTTATGGGAGGCAGGCTCCCCCGGGCAGGGGGTAAGGGGATTGTAGCTTACCATAAAGAACTGGCAGAGGGTGATGTGTGGGAAGATGTTGTGTGCCTTGTTCTTCCCGCAGATCTGCTTCGACTGTTGCCAAAAGTCGGAGAGCTTCTGTGCTAAGGGGCCAGTGGGGCGGAGGTAGAGGACGTACTCCCGGGGCAGAGGGTCATCCAGGAAGGGATCACCGACGTGGGAGAATAACCTGTAAGAGAGGTGAGAGCCAAGCAAGCCTTGCTTCAGAATAATGGAAGGGAAGGAAGAGATAGATCCACCCTCCATATGTTCCACATCCTGGGTACTACAAGGGGAAAGGTTTTCATTTTTGTGCTTTAAAAATATACCCCTCAAAGCTCACCCCTTATAACCAACTCTCAGAATACCAACTTCTCTTCTCCTGTCTGTCACATTGTACCCAGGGCCCACAGCTCCCTAAAAAAATCCTAAATTCGCCTTCCAGAAAGCATTCTCAGATAAACCCCAAATCCTTTTCCAGTCCACCAGTACAGTTCCAACCTGGCCTGTCTCTTTAGTTCAGTCTATGATTAAATCCATGTGCCTCCAAAGACAAAGGAAGCTTTGGGAGGGTCGTCTTGCAGTGTCTGCCCTGCATAGCCATATTCTGGAAGGTAAGCAGGAATTTTTCTAAGTTGAATTGCCCAGCATCCACACACCTAAAGTGTATCTTTAAGTGACTGGAGCGGGGCGGATATTGTGATAGGGGCTTTGTCTTGAAAATACTTTGAATTTCTTTAACAGCTTGAGGAGAAGCATGCCTTGGGGCCAGGGCAGAGGCAATCAGCTTGATAAATGGGTTGTCACAAGGTCTTTTGGCTCATCTCCCCCCTGGAAGGGTCCATTAGAGAAAGGCTGCACATCCCTGCTCATCCACATACACTTAGAGTTAATTATATGCTATTTCCTCAATTTATTTATTTCATACCAACCAGTCACATGCTGCCTGAACACTTCTTCCTCCTGTGGATGCCAAGGCTTTTTGTCTGGAAGAAGAAATCAAATTTCTATTGTTAGTATTTTTAGCCTCCTATCAGCTTTTCTCCCTGCAGTGGCGAGAGCTGAGTGTGAAGTAAGCGACATCAAATCTCCTCCATGGTGGGGAGACACCTGCAGCAGGACTTCCCCCCAAGGGTCACAGCAAGGCACATGGAAGTTAGGACTTGTAATTAATTTCCATGTCATTGGCATTGGATTTGCATGCAGCCCGACAGCTCATGCAGTCTATTTTCAGCAGCTTCCACATTAGTTTTATTTTCGCTTCCCGAAAGGTTGCCACGTCTTGCTTCTTCCCCCTTCCCTTTCACCCACTCGCTCTTACTGACCCAGATCCCCTACAGAGCGTTTATTTGCAGCCCTTGGCAAAGTGTGTTACAAAGTGGTGCTGAGAGATTAAAACTTGAGGCAAGATGCCCACAAGGACCATCGGTTTGGATCAATTCAGTGCCACCTCCAACTGCCACCACCAGCCTCAGGCTGGATCCATAATCTCCAGCTATTCTATAGACATCTTTGGGGACAGGTAGCCCTGGGTGAAAGAGTAGGGCCAGAGCAGTGATGTTCTCACTCCCACGGCTGGAAAAACAACTCCGAGCCTTACTGGTGGTGGGGCAGCATCATAGGACGGTTACAGCAGAGGCCCTGTGGACAAGCACACAAGTAGAGCGCTTCTAAAATTTCACACCGGTCTCCAAGAGCGAGCTGTGTATAAGGAGCCTTGAACAGTGCCTGCAACACTGGAGGTAATCAACAAATGATTGTTCCCGTCCCTTTCCACTACACTGATACAGGGGCGTTGGGAGAGAGGTGGGGGAAGGGAATTCTAGTTTATACTGACACTCTTTCTAAGCATCCTTTTCCTGGTGATGAACACAACTCTTCCGTCATTTTCCTGCTCCCTCTATGGAGCTATTAGAATGGCTGATGCTCTGAGAATCACAGAGGGTCAGATTGGAAGGGACTTCAGAGGTCATCCGTGAGCCCAACTTCTTCACTTACATGAGGGGAAACTCAGGTGGAAGGAAGTAAAGTAACACGCTCAGAGCAGCCCGCTAAGGTGACAGCTGAGTGAAGGTCAGCCTCTGTTTCTCGGCTCCACAGCCCAAGGTTAAACGCCTTCCTTTTCCCCATGAAAATCTTAGCACAAAGACCAAACGCTCAGGATAAAGAAATCTGCACAGCTAAGTAGAACAACGTTACAGAAGACACACCTACTTACAGTAAGATGAAGTTACGGAGAAGCAAGGCAGGCTCCTCTGAACCCCTCGGAACAGAAGCTCATGCAGAAAAGGCTGGACACACAGGGACTCCCCCGACCATCCCCACACCTGACAAGGTGCTTAATTGCTGCGAGTTGCCAGCCTGTTTCCTTTACTGCTTACTAGACCATCAGAGGCCACACATCTTACTTTTTCCAGTTCCAGAAACCATGGACCCACAAAAGAACACAAAACATGGTCTTTCAGAGGTTAGAATCTCTGAGGATTAAACTCACCCAAAAAAGACCCATTGTTTCAAAAACAATTGGGAAAAGGAAAACTCATTTGTGGTACAATGTGCTATTTATATGAAGGATCTAATTTCTTTTCTTTCTAGGCCCTTCCCCCAATGAAATGTATCTGACTGAAATTTAATTTATTTTTCCTAAGTACTAGGAGTATCCTCTGGAAATGAAAGATCTAATTAAGTTATGGTCCTCGTAACTCAAAAGACAAGTTTTGGAGAGCATTCAAAGATACAAGTGAGAAAGATCATGAAAGGTTTGGGTGATAAGGCTATGAGGAAAGGTTAAAGAAACCCAAATTCTTCTTTCTGAAAAAGACAAATCTGAGAAGTCTTCAGTTTTATGGAAGGTTATCGTATCTGATGTACCTTCTCTAGTGAGGGTAAGCCAAAGTAAAATAAGCTTTTGCTATAGCACAAAGGGCTCCAGTTAGATACCAGGAAGAACTTCCTGGCAGTAATGTACTATAAAAGTGTTTCATTTTTTGGGGGGGGGAAGTTTCTAGAAAAAATTTACTGATCTGAAACAGAGGTGTGCGATTCTCTAGGCAAGAGGAGTAAATTCACCGCTTCCTTAGGGTCACAAGCGGAACTCTGCTGCTCCTTCACCCACTGCCAGGCTGACGACGACTTGGGTTGAGTTTGTTCCCAGAACTCTGCCCACAGAACAGACTGAACATGGGCACTGGCAGAACACGCCCCCCCCCACCCCGCCCCACCCCCACCCTGCTGAAGAAAGACTGTTGCCATAGAGCTCCCACCTCCATGGTCCACAGATGGGGCCAATGCCAAGAAGAGTGGGGTGTGTGGGGTGGACCCCAAACACCAGGCTGTGCCTGAACAGCTGCTATCCTCAGAGTGACTCAGAAGTTGGCAGAGACTGCTGGAGACCTTGAGCAGATAAAGGAGGAGGATTCCTTTCAAGTCAAAGGCGAGCAGTCCAGCCACTGGATGATAGCAACTAGTTGTTTACATGGGACCTTTGT